AGTGCTCAGCCATCCATGTGAGAAGAACAGTGTTATCGTATGGATCAGAGAAACTGCAAAGACGTGATTTTGACCACGACGTGAACCTTTTGCATTTGGAGGTGAATATGCATGCGATAATTCGAACCTTTGCATATTGTGATACCATGGCGATCAGAGAAGCATTTCTTGAAATGATCGTTGCATGAATACAACAGAATAATTACATTACTTTCGTTCAGGCAGAGGGTCAGTCAAATTTACTTTATTGAACTAAAGGCATATGAGTAGACTCCAACACATGGTAATGCAAATCGAAACTTGCAATCACACAACATTAACAGGAACTGAAAAATCGATCAGTTGACTGCGGAACAAAGAAAATCAAAAGCCACACGTAAAAAAATTTGTTTTGATGATTTGTTTTGTTGGAACAGCAGTTGTTGCACGAATTTACATTTACGCCTTCAAAGGATGCCCATGGTAGTGTATGTATGTATGTATGTATGTATGTATGTATGTATGTATGTATGTATGTATGTATGTATGTATGTATGTTGGCGCCAAGAGCACAGTCGTAGTACTACTGCTTAAACCCGCATCAGACAGAACGAAGTGAAAGTATTTTTGTAGCGAGGAAATTCGTTGAGCATTCACGATTAGGAATGGAAATATGTGTTTTTATTGGTAACCATTATAACCATGATGCGCGATGATTAAACAGTTTGTCATTGCGTTTTAATGTTCATGTTCGTGATTGGTTTTAGCTGTCTAGCATCCCACGTTCAAGACTGGCAGATCTGTAACAAATCTTGGAGAAGGGCATTCTGACTTGATCATTCTTTGGTGAGGAACAATATCCTAGGAAAGCATAATTGATTTTAATTATAACGCTGCCCTCCATCTGAACGAAAATGATGACTGCGTTTATTCAGAAGGTTTATCCGAAGTCGTATGAACGGAAGAAGGATTTCTTTCGAGATGTGTGAAGCATTAATCTCGAAAAATTTGACGAAGCAAAGCTGACACTAATTTATGCAACATATCGTCAGCCGTATATTCATGAAGCAATTAGAGACTCGTCATATGCAATTTGTGCCCGGTCATAGTTTCTGAAAAAAGGAAACGATGACGGAAGCCTCACCGCTGCATTAACTCGAACTGAACAGACAATTCGACGTTCTTAGGCAATACGACAGAAGGCTGAGTAGTGAGACAGATTTGAATATAACAAAGGCAGTTAGAGAAAGGGTGAGCAACATCTCAGGAAGAGGGACTGTGAAAGATGACCTCAGCAATATCGGGCAAACCAGAGAATTCATGAAGAAGCGAAAGGAAATGAGGGCTGCAGCGGATCAGAAATCGACGATCGAATGCGGGAAATTTTGCTAAGCTTTATGTAAACAAGGAGCAAAAGACTTCGGAGCATTTAACTGCTATCTGACAAAGAAAACAATTGTAACTAAAAGAAGAATAAAAAGTTGAAAGCAGAGATTAGGAAGAAATGAGCAGTGCTGTTAGCAGTGCTCTCTCGTAAAGGAGAATGCAGAGCTGTTGCCCGAGACAAACAAAGGACTCCAAAGAGAGAAGAATATTTTTAATGGAAAACTGTTGAAGGTGGAAAGTAAAAGGAATCGAGTCATGGGTAATAGTGAGGAACCTGAAGATGGAAACGTTGATGGAATTTCATATGTCCTGCCATTAGAATTGCAACGTGTGATGAAACAGACGAAGTGAAGAATTGCTGCTGAGGAAAACAACTTTAAAATACGACTCTTTTAATCAGGATTCCAGGACTGATAAAGCTATTAGCTCCATTGATTACACTCTCTTAATACAAAGTGAAATTTCATACTACTGGCCTACCCTATCCGTCATTCCATTCCACAAAAGAGACGATTAAAGAGGACATGAAAAACTATATGCCGATCGCTACGCCTTCAGTCAATGTGCTGATGAACACAAGTCAGAAAAACTGCGCTCTGCGCAGGAAAAGCATCGAACAAGTTTCAGCCTTGAAAATAATGTGGTGGATGATGTACATGTGGTATAACGAGCAATTCAGACATGCAACGAACTTGATTTTCATCTGTGCATGACGTTTATCGAATTTTATTTACATTGTTGCTCATTATATGCCATTTTTTATTGCATTTGTTGAGAAGACAGAGAATCGTGATTGTATTCTGTGATCTCTTCGCTGTGATCCTCAAGAATGTTAAGAAGGAAGGCAAGAAGCCTCACAAAAGTTCTGGTCCACAATCGACAAAGGCTATCGAGAGGGAAATTCAAAACCGTCTAGTTTTGTCCGGCAGGTCTAAATGAAGTTTTCAAGTCACGCCTTTGGACAAATCATTGGTAATGGAAAAATGGTTTTTAC